AATATATATAAAAATCTTTATTAACCAAATCGCTTACTAACTATACATAGTTTAATAATAAATAAATTAAAAAAAAACTGTAAACTATCAATAAAGTAATACATGACATGGAGAGTATAAACAGTATAAACAACTGAACATTAACTATAGAACATTACCTATAAAATATTACCTATCGAACATAGCTATAATCGCACATATCCTTTACATACTCTATATACTCTATATTTAATATATCGTAACCTTCAAAAACTTAATCGAGTTATCTATATTCAAAAAAAATATTAAAAAAACAAACTGTAAGTATTGCTGTTTAAATTGCTATTTTCAAGCTTTTTTTAAAAAAGTTTAACACTTATTAGCCAAGGTACGAATTACCTTGCCAAATGCTGAATTACCTTAACCTATAAGATAAAAAGTGCACCCCATCACTAACTTCTGGATTATTTTTCCATTCTTCAGATTATTTTTACTGTAGGTAGAATAAAAGATGTAGTTTCAAAATTTATATATCATATCTTTTGACAATTCGTTTTCATGGCTGCCAATTCATTTAAAGTCAGATGATATATGTGGTGTAATATGTGATGATATATTTAGTGATTGACCAATCAGAATTAAAGCCCACTATGTTCCCTATCACAACATATGTAATTGAATCACCTAACATTGTTTATATTTTTTGGCCAATCAAAATTATTATGTGATTATATCGAGGGTGATAATTCGTGATCATCACTGAGTTAACTCTTCTTCAAGTGTCCCAAGAGTGCTTGCCTATAGCTACTATGATCTAAATTCTATATCATTTTGTTTAAAATTACAACAGTATTTGTTTGTATAGCATATCTCTTAATAGTTGCATAAGCCTCATCTAAAGTTCCAAAAGTGCATCCTGATTCTACAATACTGTTGTCTATAAAAACTTCATTAAAGGGTTTAAAAATATTCTTTGACTTTATAGTGCTCCTAATACTATTATTAACAGTTTTAAAAATATAATCCAACTCTATAATATCCATAGTACTATTATTAAAAGTTCTAAAAAAATTATCTGACTCTATAAAGTCTATATTTTTATTAGAAATTATAGTGCTTTTATTAGAAGAAACAAAAACACAATTTGATTCTATAATGTTTATAGTATTATTAAAAGTAACAAAAATATAATCCAACTCTATATCATCTATAATACTATTTTTAAAAGTTTCAAAAACACTACCTAATTTTGTAATATCTATAATACAATTGTTAGAAGTTTCAAAAATATGATCTGGCTTTATAGTACTATTATTAAAAGTTTTAATATGTAATTTAACTCTATAGTATCTATAGTATTATTGTTTGAAATTCCAAAAACATTATCCAACTATATAATATCCATAGTACTATTATTTATACAATTTTTAAAAGTTTCAAAGTTACATCTGATCTTATATCATATATATTTATATGACTTGTGAAGGTTTAGTAAATATATTTAGAGTTTATATTATTTATTATACCAACAAGGACAAGAGTAAAAAGTGCAAAATTATAATTTTTTTTCTTATAAATACATTTTATTTTGACTATTTATTATATTATATTATATATTGATCTTATGTATCATCGCTACCCCGATCTTTAATTAATATTCCAATATATAATATACAGGTTATTTTTTGAAATTTTTAACTTTTGAAATGTAAATGTATATAAAATTTTTAAAATTTTATTGGCTGAGCTAAATTAATATATACAGTATTACACAAACTGATATACAAAAAAAAATGCTAATTAAAATATCCTCTAATTACTTATCATATTTGTTGAATTTTTAAAACATGTTTTATTCAACCCTATTAGTTTTATTCAATTAATTTTATTACTAACTTTGTACTATTAAAATTATCAAGTTTTTAAAAAATAGTATAATATTTATAAAATAATATTTGTAATATGTAAATTATAATATATATATATATATATATATATAAAACTTTAATTAATATTATAATTATTAAATTATAAAGTAGTAAAAATAATCATTATTAAAAAAAATACTCTAGATAACAAATTAGTTTATACTTCATTATTTGTTAGTTTTGTTAGTATCTGTTTTCAATCTTTTCTAAAAGATATATTTGAAGTATTGTTTGTAAAGATCAAATTATTTTCTTAATACAAATAGTCACATTTTCATCTTAATTTTGTATTATTCAACTTTAAGTTCTAAACAATAATTTACAAGATTATTTAATCAATGCTATAAAATTAAATTGGTAAGTATAGCAATATGTATATTAGTAAAAAAGTAAATAAATAACATAATACTAAGTTTTTTTTTAAAAAAAAAAAACTTTAATACAAATTTCTAAGAAATACAACATTATATAAACCGATTCATATACTAACAACTCTTGTATCAATATAGTAAAAAATGCTTTATTTATAATTTCAAACTAATATATTTTATATACTTAAACATTTATTGTATAAAGATTTATCTGTAATTTTGCAATATATAAAAAAAATATAATTTATTAATAATCTTTTAGAAGTATTTATAAGTTAATTCTAAAAAATTATCTATTATTTAACATTCAAATATTACTATTTTTATATAGTCTTTAGATAGTAATCCAGGATATGTTTTTATTATTTGGTTTATTATATTGTATATTCTAACTATTATTTTAATTTATTAGTTTATATCTTTTTTAACATCTTTCTGAAAATTTACCAGAAACTTTATATATAAAACCTTCTAAGATTAGACCTGTTAATAAAGTAATAATTAAATTTGTTTTTTAATCTATATAGATATAATCATCATTAGAATCTTGGTTATCTTTATATTTTTCTTAACTAGCAACTAACTATTATTTATATCTAAAATCCAAAAAATAAAATAGTAAAATAAAATTTTATAATACATGTTTTAAATCTTAAAGAATTATCAATATTTTCAAAACTTCATTTAATTTTAATCAATACTTATTTTAAAGGCAAAGACAACAAAGTGAATTATAAGCTCTTCTTTATTTTTAGAAGCTTAAAATACTCAAGATATAGTTTTAATATCATTAAATATGTATATAATATTGATACCCTTTTTTGTGCTTCTAAATTCTATTTAATAAAGTTTATAATATTAATAAAATAAACCAAAGATAATAATTATTACTCATTATAAAATAATATAACATTAATTAAATCTTGTAAATCATATCTTATATATATAATTATGTAAAATTGTTTTAAGAAAATAAGAGAGTTTTTTAAAAATATAGATATAGAAAGTTATAAATTATAAAATATATTGTGTTTTGTATAATCAAATAACAATTAAGTAATTGTATATATAAACTGCAATTTGCAAATTTGATTAAAGTTATATTAGTTTAAAAATAGCAATAAATTATTGCCATTATTATCTTGATATTGTCAAAAAAGTTTGTTTCAGATTGTTCAAGTTCTACTATACTTTATAAAATATCTGATTTAAAATTATTTACCAAAGCATCTTATATTTTAATAAACTTTTTTTTTTATTATTTGTATTGTTTAGTTAGATTTAGAACACCTCATTATTGTGGACTTTAATAAAAAAAAGATAATATTTACAAATTTTATAATCAAATTTTCATACAAGTTCATTATGCAAAAATAATACTTATTGAACTTTTAATTTTTTTGAGATAAAGAATTATATAAACTGCCAAAAACTTTTAAAATATTAATATTATCTATTATATAAGAGTCTTATCTATTGACTACTAGAATTGTAGATATTGAAGATGCTAATATTAGTTCTTTTTCTCTTTCAATATAAAATAAATCTGCCTTTTTAACAATATTATCAAAATACTTAAAATCTTTTATATAAATTGATTTATTATAAAAAATATAATCATTATTTGTATTTTTATTATTATTGTTATCACTTGCAACAAAATAAGTATTAATCTTGGTCACACCATCTCGAATGGGAGCTTCGGCACAATAAATCCAGAAAACCAGAATTACTGAAAACCCATTTGGCAAGTCCCGAGTTGAGAGTAGCAGTGATCTTTGATAGTGCTACAGGAAGACTGAATTTGGAACCAGAAACTGAGACCAGAGAACTGAGTGACCAGGTTCTTAAGTGGGAGGACACACCAGCTGAACCGCCGGCTCACCATCGGAGAAAAAGGACTTGTGCTCAGGAAGCATGTACCAAGGGGAGGGAGACTATAAGGCACCTAGAGCCTTGGCAGACCAACCCTTCCAGGTTGCCAGCTGGAAGTAAGGAAGGGACCGGTAAGAAATCCAGGAAAGAATGAAGTTAGAACATGGGTACTGAAGTTGTTGTGAACCTTGCAAGAGCAGGAGAAAATAAGTAGAAACTAATTAGGAAGGTTGTGGCTTAGAATACGAATTGGGTTATGGTAGTATCTGAAATAATAGCTTGAGATACAAACCCGGTAGCAGCAGCACAACATGACTAGTTGGAGAAAGTTTACCAAACATGCAAGTAAGTACATGTGTGGGACATGTACCATTCTGTTAGGTTTACTACAAGGATAAATGTCCATGTAGCTAAAGTCTTAGGGTCCTTACACAGCATTGTTAATCTCATTAAGAGTGTTAGAGTAAGTGTGTTACAGAAATGGAGCCAGAGGATTTAAATGGGTATCTCCCATAGTTGGGTACAGATACAGTAGCTAGTGTGGAACCTAGAGCAGACTACTTAAATAAATAACCAAAAGTTGCATATATTGCTAGTTGTACTCTCGTTAGTTAAATAATCAGAGAGTTTAAATAGATAATCTCCTAGTTCAGTCAGGGAATATACCAAATTTGGACAATGTCGATCGCACCTTTTATGGTAACAGATACGTCATTCAAATCATTCTAGAAATATCTATCACGACATATGTGAACTAATACTGCTGTACTGTAATATTCAAGATTCGAAGCGTGTACTTACTCGAAGTTCATTAGTATTTAAATTTCATAATAAACAAGCTTAACAACAAACAAGGTTCGTTATGCTTATAGCGGTTTGCTTTCAAACGAAGAGCTTTGGAACAAAGCAATCAGAACTTTACGATTTCGTGTCAAAATCCTGAAAAACTGATTCCCGAAAGAATATAATACCAACTAAATCGGCGAACATTATTGCATTACAGCCATTGCTGGCTAACTTTGTCGTATTATGTTCTTTTGGGAATCTGTTTTTCAGTATTTTAACCCAAATTTGAACTTTATATTTTGTAGTTGCATACAAGATTCGCCGAATATTGTAATACAGTCAGACCTCTCTAAATGCAATGCGACGGGGCCATATGTAAAAATTTAGCCAAACGTGCACTTAGAGGGGTATTGCATTTAGGGAGGTAAGAACCTATAGGCGTAATATTAGTTGGGCCCAAGAGAAGACGTACATTTAGGGGTCGTTTTAGTTATTCCAATTTTTTTAGTACAAAAAAAAAAAGAAAAATCTCTGTACACATTTTAAATGTAATAAATATATTTATTTAAATAAAAATTACACATTTTAAATAAAAAAAAAACATAAAAAATAATAAGTAAAAAAAAAGAGAATTAGTTAGGGATGTTATCAACTTGACCTGATCGATTAAGTATATAACATCCCTAGAATTGCTACAAAATTCTAATTCTGATTAGTATGTTCTATTTCATCATTTTGTGTTTCTAAAACTTCACTGCATTCAGAGTTATTATCGGGATTAAATAAAGATCTTACCTCTTCTAATACTGCCAATAATTCGTTACGCCTTTTAGACTTTAGTCCATGATATTTCTTTTTTATACTATTGCCCGCTTGTTCAAGAAGCACCTCAATCTTATGCAAAATTTCTGCATTGGTCATATTCGCATCACTCATTTGCTTAGCTGCTTCTTGTTTAGTAATTGGAATTGACCTAAATAAAGAAGCAGAATTATTATCATGAAAAACTTCAATAATATATTTTTGCCGAGCCTCCTTAGCCAAATTCGTGAAATTTATCAACTGTGCACTTAATTCATATTC